GTGGCTCAAAGGTTTGGTTCTCTCACCAACAGAAGTTGGTCCAATAAAAGATATTACCTCACCCACCTTGTCTCTCTCATATCCTGGGACTGACTCAGCTATAACTACACTACATACATATATTTCTTTTGCCAGCCTTTTCTATGCCTCCATCTCCTCCACTCTTAAGTAAAAGAGGAGTTGTTGTAGGTGGTGCAGTGTTGTAGGTGTTTGCAGTTCTCTGGAGAACTGTTTTTCAGATTCATTTTAAGTTGCAAGTGTGTTTCAGAGGGGTTAGGTCTAAAACCTACCGCTTTGTGGATGTTTATCTATGCCACAATACTGCTACACAGGTTGCCAGGATTATCATTCTCTGCTAAGAACTGAGATAGATCAGGACTGAGACGCACTAGCAAAACTATGTGAGGAGACTTACTCAGTGCCTGTCAGTGCCATGCCTAGTTGTATGTGAACATTCACATCCCTAGAATTCTCTCCTTTTGCAGCAGAGCTGGAAGTCATGCCCTTCCCAACCTTTCTCCCTCCCACAGTGAAGGGAGGTGGAAGATGCAGTCCAGAAGGGGAGAGTGTAAGAGCAGTGCAGCAACCTAAAGCAAGGTAAAGATAAGGGCTTGTCTGCACTGGACGTTCGTGCACGGCAGGTCAGTGTCTGACTTTACAGTGCCTGCTTGCTGCACAGTAATGTCCCACATGGACACTTTGAAACACAAATGTATCGAAGAGCACTATGGAACTTTTAGTGTGCTGTAGCAGTGTCCATAAAGGATGTTACTGTGCAGTATGCTAGTGCACTGTACATTTACACCAGGCTTGCCATGCACTAACGTCTCATGCGGACAAGCCCCAAGTCAGTAGACTGGTCACATTGTTGAGCCAGTTCAAAGTTTGTTCTGCACAACAGTCACCCTGATTGTACGAACCCCTCCCCCTCGTCACAGCTATGGAGAGTACAATTCACTTAAATACATACCAAAAAAAAAAAAAAACCATCTCCCAACAAAGGAAGAGTAACAGCTTTCCCCTCATTTCCCTCTTCCATCATTACTGCCACTGAAGGGCCATTTTATCACTTGCAGCTGGAGAATTCTGCGACAACCTGCTGTGCTCTGAGGCTGATGAGACCTGCACATTTGATCTGCATTAAGTCCATTTCATGGCTTCACATTCTAGGTACATTCCAAGCAGCGGCACCAAGGGCCAAGTCTTTTCATGCTCAGAGCTCTTCAGTAGCTCCTGTGAAATCTGCTATTTGTTTTTCACATCAGGCCTCCAGTATCAACGTGTTAGCAGTCTGCTGTCATCCCCCCCACCAACACCAAACAAGGGCCAGCATCATCCAGTGTCTCTGTAATAGGGCAGGAAAATCCCCATCATTATACCAATGATACTAACAAAAAGAGCTGCATTCACTCCCACTTGGATTTGAGGTATAAATTAACTGGACACAAACACACACGGACAGACGGGGACACACACACACGGACAGACGGGGACACACACACACGGACAGACACAGAAACATAGCACTTTGTTCTCAGCTCCCAGATGCATTAAAGCCTCAGTTTATCAGTTTCTTTCTGGTGGACTCTTTCTGAACAAGGTGTTTATATTTAATGAGAAAGAAGACTATTTGTGTTAGGTGGGAGTGCAGAGGGAAAAGAGACAAGTATTAATAATAATCTGTGTGTCCACTCTGCTGTGAGAGTGACTAAATGTTGGGAGCATGCCAAAGTCCATCAGTGTGTGTACAAATATGTGCATGTTTGCCTGATATGCTCCTCCTGCTGCTGCTAGCAGTACTGAAGGCATCACAGGAAAATACCAGGGTGACAACCCACTGTTAGCAGGACACCAATCTCAGAAACTGAACTCCACAGAGTCTCTTGACTAACTTTTTAGGGGGTTGCCAGAGGAGCAATGGCTCCCAGGCAAATACCACTCCAGCCATATGACTCGCAATCTAGCTTGTTCTGCATAGCAGCAGTAAATGGATGTCAAGTCGTAGGAGTTATCAGAAAGATTGGAAACAGCACTCTAGAATTTAACTCCCACTATGGGTCGTGCTCTTAACATGTCCTCTTAAATATCCTTCTGGAAAACAAGAGCTGCAAGAAAACAAAACACTGGCAATGTACAGCTGATTCAAAGCTATACTCCTACAACAGCCAGCTGGTGACTGGCTCAGCCTCTGCACTGGGAGCATGTTGCTGGTTAATAATTAAACGGTAATTGGAAGGAGGTATTGAGGTAGTGAGCAGATTTCTCTCACGGTAACAAGAGGTTTTCATTGCTGCCAATCACACTCTTCTAGGACTATATTCTTGTTTCTTCAATTAGACTGAAGCATGCAGATAACAGTCGTAAATACAAACTAATTAGGACTTCTTAAACGTTTGCCCACCGAGGACCCAGAATCAGTGAAACAGGGCTCAAGCTTTTAAAATGCCACAGGAGTAAATCCCCACACTGTTGGATGTGGAAGCCCTAGCAACGACAGAAAGGGTGTGGCATGTTACAGCCAAGCTGTGGAAGACAGATGAGGTACAAACCATGCAGCAGATGTGCCCGCAATTAGCCGGAAATGTGATTGCAATGGGGGCCACCCTTTCCCCCCATCCTCATCATGTTTATTCAAGCCTTTGAGATTTTCAAGAAAGGAACGTGCCCCAGAAATACCAGGGTGAAATGGTCAGACCAAGTGGAGGTGAGGCCCAAACTCCAGTGCAAGGCAGTTAAAGGGCAATTGGCTGCTCTTCAGCTTCAGAAGACAGATGTTTCCAACAATTCTTTACCAGATTTCCTGAGAAACAACCTGGGTAGTGACCATTGCTATAAGAGCCCTAAGGTAAGTGAGATGGTTTCCTGGTTCTAGTGCACTGTCAGTTATAGAACATTATACTACGACGGGAGTAAGCGAAGAGCAAGGTATTTCCCTCTTACGTGTTAAATGCTCACTATGCCAGTTCCTAGAACCCAGCAGATTGAGACAATGAAAGGACCAGAATGTGGTGTAGCACTTTTCATTTACAGAACTTCTTCGCTGCCAGCCCATAGTCCTTTCGGCATGTCTAAAGAGGCCATTATCTTCCTGGTCCAATGACAGATCTGCCTAAAACATAACAGTCAAATTGACCAAGTATGGCACATTACAGTTCTCTAGCAAAGGAATGTTACTTCAACTTTCTTTGTGCTGCAAAAGAGATATTAAAAGAGGGTCAGACTGCCAATTTTTTACCAACCCCTGTGGAGGAAAAAACATTTGAAAGGAAAATTCATTTCAGCCTCAGATTTGTGATGGTTTGCCACATATGACTGGACAACAAAATGGCAGATGAAATTCAATGTTGAGAAGTGCAAAGAAATGCCCATTGGTAAACATAATCCCAAGTATACATACAAAATAATTGGGTCTAAATTAGCTGTTACCACTGAAAAAGAATCTTGGAGTCATCATGGATAATTCTCTGAAAACATCTGCTCAATGTGCAGCAGCATTCAAAAAAGCGAACAGAATGTTAAGAACCATTAGGAAGTGATAAAGAGAAAATATTATAATGCCTCTATATAAATCTATGGTACACCCAGACCTTGAATACCATGTGCAATTCTGGTTGCCCCATCTCAAAAAAAAGATATTTGAATTGTAAAAAGGTACAAAGAAGGGCAACTAAAATGATTAGGGGTATGGAAGAGCTTCCATATGAGGAGAGATTAAAAAGAGACTATTCCTCTTGAAGAGACTACTAAGGGGAGATATGATAGAGGTCTATAAAATAAAAAATGGTGAGGAGTTGAATAGGGAAGTGTTATTTACCCCTTCACATCACTGTGACCCCTGGTTTGTGTGTTAAGTTGATAGGCAGCAGGTTTAAGACAAACAGAAGGAAGTATTCCTTCACACAACGCAGAGTTAACCTGTGAAATTCATTGCCAGAGGATGTTGTGGAGACCAAAAGTATAACTGGTTTCAAAAAATAATTTGATACGTTTATGGAAGATAGGTCCATCAAAGGCTATTAGCCAAGATGGTCAGGGTCACAACCCCATGCTCTGGGTGTCTCTAAATCTCTGACTTGCAGAAGCTGAGACTGCATGACAGAGGATAGATCACTCAATAATGCCCTGTTCTGTAATTCCCACTGAAGCATCTGGCACCAGCCACTATCTGAAGACAGGATACTGGGATAGATGGACACAATGTCTGACCCAGGATGGCCATTCTTATGTTCTTGTATCAGTAGGCATTTATTAATCATTCCTTTTCAACTGGTAGAACTATACTTAGAAAGATACCTATAAAATATTCAAGCTGAGCAACTCCACCCCCCTACTTCTGTCATGAGAAAAACCTCAAGATAAAGTGGTTGACAGCAAAAAGAGCATGACAGTTTCCTCTAAACTATGTTCCTGGGCTCAGCTGAGCAGAATGATATGAAATAGAAATCCAGGTCTAAGGAATGCAGTGTGGTAACAGGAAAAGAGTGCTTTGTATCTCTTTTCCAAGCCCCCATATTGCGGATTCTAGGCATTAGCACGAGCACCTACTTTATATGCAGATCCTGTCTAACAGAGTGGGTGTTCACACACATTTTCCATGATGTATAGCATGAAAATAAGACACCAGGGGCTTCTTGTGGGTGATCAGTGTCAACACAGCAGCTTATTCTGAGGCAGGGTGTAGATTTGTGTGAATGTTTCAAAAATTGGTTTGTTGCAGGATAAGAAGCAGAAATCAATTATTCCAAAATGGATCCTAGAGTCTGCTTTTTTTAGGCAAGTGAAAGTGAGGGTAGGGAAACTGGTCGTGTCCTTATAATCCAGGATTCAAGGACAGGACAGTTCTTTACACAGCCCCTTTACTCTCAAAACAAGTATCTCAGGTCATACTACAGTTCTCCCACCTGATCAGCGAGCTCAAGTGGCAGTTTCATTCTTTTGAGCCAGCTCCCAGGGCACTGTCCCATTTTATATTATCCAAATAAAGCAAATGGCTCACTCACCTCTCTTTTGCATAAAGATGAAGAGGTCATCCAGGAACGCCTTCCGTTCAGGGTCACTATCCAGTTCGTACAGCTGAGTAAATCAAGAAAAATAATGGTATAACCGATGCTAGGGCAGACAGAGAGGGTAAGACCACCATATATTGTACTGGACCTCATGTGATGGTGGGACAACATGCCGCCACAGAGGTAGAGGCAAATCAGTGGTCTCCTCCACTGACCAGGCTGAAGTGTAGCAAGCTGAGCTGAGCCTCTATAGTGTAGACCAGCCTTCAGAGCACACTAGCTCCTCCAATTCACATCTTAAAGGCACTATGGAGGTGCAACTTCTGACCTTGTTATTCCCTCCTTTGAGTTTTCAGGGATTGTCACATAAATGGAAATGCCTTGAAGGGAGAGGTGAAAGAAAAGATATAGATCTTTCAAATCGTGCTAACAAGTAATGCCTGGTGGGAGATGCTCCTCTGAAATAAGTACTCTCACTCACCTTGGCAATCAGCCTAGAACTAATGTTCTGAAGACATATTTTGGCAAAATGCCCTCAAGATCCAGTGTTTCTGATTAAATATTTCTCAAAAGTTTCATATAAGGTATATTCAGAAAACAAATTCTACTTAGCATCACCCTCTGATATTTCAGAAAAGGTGAAGGCAGGAGAATCATGCAACTGTTCCATAGCAAATCCAATTTTCACCTATGGCGGACACTGGGGGGATATACCATGACTGGTTGAAAGAGACACAGTGCCAGTACTGCTAGCAGAAAAAGTCCCAAGGAACAAAAACTCCTGCATGTGGAGGAGAAATGAAGTCCATGTAGTTGTGGAAATCATTTCTTCTGCTGGGCATAGCTGCTCTGTTAGGGAAGGATATCAATGGAAAAGCAAAGCCCCAATGGATAAACATATCTGTCTGTCTTTCTCTCAAGACATGGAGTTAGCTATTCAAAGTCTGTCTATTCTACAAGAAAATGGGTTTATTGGGTCATTTCCTCTATTGCCTACCTCTTCTCACACACTAAGCTATTGGGAAGGAAACGCATCACTGGATTTGCACAGCAATTAGGTACACTCCTTCAAAAAGGGCTAGTTTAAATTAAACACATTGTTTATTTGTCTGACAGGACACACACTGCTGCCACAGTTCAAAATTGCTAATCAGTTTCAAGAAGCTGAATCCTGTACTGCCAGCCGAAGAGGGTTGCTGATCAAAAGTGTTAAATATCATAACTGACAGCTAGGAGGCTTTATTGAAAGCTGCCTTTCAGCCATCAAAGGCAATAACATGGCCTAACCCTACCGGTCCCCAGACACAGAGGTTGCTAAGTGAATTTCAGTGTACACAGTCCCTCCTTCACATTCCCACGAGCTGCAGCAGAACAGTCTGGGATTAGCAATCCCTCGACAAAACAGAGGGGAGGAACATGCTGAAAGTTATCTCCCCCAACCCCAGCTCCACACACAGTGAAATCCAATGATCAGACAGACTTACCTTGGCAAAATCTCGAGAGATTTCTCTTCCTCGGCCTCCGTCAGCTTCTTCGCTCCAAGTCAGACTTCCATTCTAAGGGAACAGAAACAAGAGGATGAGTGGACTATGGGGAAGAGGTCCCTTGCTATGGGTGGCAATTACAGATGGAGAGTACACGTACGGAGGAGGGCACTTCTGGTGTAGGGAGCACAGGGATGGAGAGAAGTATTTAAGAGAATTGTGTCGTATTTTAATTAAGCTTCCAAGTAAATGTGGCCACAAAAGCTGGCTGGAAAATAGAAATCCCTTCCCACAAAAATGTTCATGCTTTTTTAAAATAAAATTTATTCTTAACTGTATGAAAAGTCAAAAATGCAAAAATTTTTGCAGGAAGGAACTTCCAGAGAAATCCCATTTTGGGAGCCTCAAGGCAGAATTTTTCAGTTTGCCAGCTATCTGCCTGGAAGACTCTTGTCAATTTTACTTTCTGACTGCATGCCAGAAGCTGGGTACTCCTGGTCCCCTCCAGCCCAGCTGCTGGAAAATTTCTGACCAGCTCTAATGGCACATTATTCCACCTGTTAAACATCAGTGATCTAACATTTGAAGTGGGAGATCTCTTCATTCACTGTAGCCAGGTTCACTTCATTGTTCAAAGCCAAACAAGGAGCAAGTTCAAGAATGAAGCTTCTTGCTGTATAAACATCCTTACACAGGTGCATTTTACTTATGGTCTATAGAGCCCATATTGAAAGCAGCAGGTGCCAAGCACCCATACTTGTCAACCTGATCATGATGGGTCTCATCCTTTCTGTTAGCCATCTGACCGGCACTACCTTACTTCAGGCTAGGAAAACATGCAGCCTGGCTTCCTCCGACGTTCCAACATAAGCAGGTCTAAAGATAGGTCAAGGGGATGGGAAATAGGGTATAATAAGGTTGGGACCCTCTGTACCAATCGTGATATGCACAAGCCTAGGGAACTGTTGTACTAGGCTCTCCTACATGGAGACAGAAAGCTCAACTCTGTTCGATTAAGGCTTGCACTTCTCATTAGGCATTATAGGGACACCACTTGGGTCTATCTTGCTTGGCAAATCACTACAGAGAAACAGTTAGCAGAACTGGAAAATAGCAAAGGCAGCATCTGGCTATTTCACAGTTGTGGTAACAGAAGGGTGATACAGCATATTGTGTAGCCATCTTTAAACCACAAACACCATAGAATAATAGTAGCCACTGGTACAGACAGCCACCCAATCAAGTGCTCTGGTAAATTATAAGTGGCACCTGCCATTCTGGTTACAAATGCACTGCACCTTATCAGCTAGAAAGACACTGAATATGTGAAGAGATTTCAGAACAAAAATACATTTTAATTAGAGTTGCTTTAACATCTGAAATCTTGGAGTCATCTGGTAGTGACATATACATTGAATTACAAAGATGAATAGCACTTGTCAAAGATAGGCAAAGCTACATTTTCCCTTTAAAAACAGCAGTGGGCTGCGCTAATGCCCACTGATTTAGTTTGAGCCAGTAATTCCTGCTGGAAAGTCAATTATCCAGTGAGCCCCATCAGCTGAAAGATATTTAATTGGGGATTATTGCCACTTCTGTTATGTCAGCTGTTTATTCCAGCAGGTCAATTCCCAACCCTCTCTAGGAAGAGGTCTGAAGACAGGTTTTGTTCACAGGAGGATTCATCTGGGTGTCCTTGGCTAACAGAGATTAAAAACACACATTTTTTGCTAATTATGATAACATCCAGCTGCTCCTAACATCCCGCTGATGAGAAGCCAGAAAACTAAGAGCAACTAAAAACCTGGATGAATAGTGAGAATAAAACACACATACCAAGATCATCAAAAGTGACTAGTGATTTTGAGTGCCCAAGTGGACATAACTTAAGGGAATCTGTTTTTCAGAGTGTTAAGCATCCACCTTCTGAAAGCAGACCCCCATTTAAAGTTGGGTATAATAAGAGTCAAAGCACCCAAATTCACTATAGGCACATTTAAAATACTTGGCCAAACCTGCTGTACTAATTTTTCTTTTTGAAATCCAGGAGGGGAGAGGGCAAGAGAACATGTATAAATTTCCCCAGGCAGAGAGGAAGCGTGAAAAGCAGATTAAACCACAAATATATTTTATATGTGGCACACATTAGCCAACAACTCTCCACTGACAACAGTTTACAACTGAGGGGGAGAACCACTGTGGGAAAACTGCATGGAGCATTAAAAACATTCGTTATTTTAAAGAAAAATCTACTTCTCATTAGTTTTAGAATTTTGAAGCTTAAATTCTATCAGAGACATCACCAAGGATATAAAAAACACAAAGTAGTAGTATTTATGTGCCCCTTAATCGCTAGATCTCAAAGCACTTCAAAGGTGAGAAAGCATCACTACTTCTATATCTTTTAGTGAAAAGGAGATAACAGCCAGCTGAACTCTGTCATTGCAATGCTTAACTAAGTGGCTGGATGAGATGGGCAACATTTGGCATAGCAAGCAGCAGAGAGACAAAGGCACTGAAGCTCCCAGATAATGAGACCTGGGGAAATAAAAGTACATGGGACTCAGGGCACAAGGCATGCTTCTTTTATGATGAGCTAGACCAAATTCTTATAACTTCCATGCAATCAGGGCTGCTTCTGGGTAGCAACGGAGTATAATCCAGTGCAAAGGTAAGGGACAAGGAGACTGGAGTTAGTGAATTTCAGGCTAGTATAAAGTACCAGATAGACTTTATTCTCCAGTATTGTCAATTTATCCATAGAACAGGCCCACAGCATGGGCAACAACAGACAAACTTTCCCCTGCCCATATACCTTGACTGTGATCTGAAGGGACTACCTTCATGAGCAACCATTCTGTGGCCTCCCTGCCAAGACTACCAACAACAATACCAAGCAGTGACAATTGCAATGCCAGTTTTGTGAGGTCAGAAACCAGTTCATTGGGAAACAGACCATGATCCATCAACTGATTTCACATAAGCCACCAACAGCCATCAGAATTTCACAGCGTTCCACTGCTAGTGACTTGAGCTCAAAAGGAAGAAAACAAATAGCTATCCAATTACAGATGAGAATGCTGCACAATTACTGACATAAATAAATGATCCTACAGATTACATAAAGGCTTGCACGGAGGATATAGCTCTGCATAAGCTTCAGTATCTCGAACTTTCACTCCTTGGAAAACAATTACTCTATGCTGGGAGACCCTTCGCTCCATTAACAGCAGGAGCTCGAGAAATCAATATTCCTTCCACCAGGCATCAAAAGGGGGTTTTATAGGTCAGGAGTTGATGCTTTCTGCTTCCTTCCAGTACTATTTAAAATTAATATCAAGGAATATGCTACTGTTTTCTCCCTCATTTTGTAGCAAGGGAATTTACTTGATGTTTGAGAAATAATCATTTCCATAGTTACCAATTGGGAAGTCACAAACAAGAATTCACCTGATGTTTCTGACATCTGGAAAAAAAAAAAAAAAAAAAAAAAAACCCTAAAAAACCCCCCCCTCTATGGCTTGGCTCAGCTCTCTGACATCATGTATCAGTAGAAGAAAGGCAGAGAATTCTGTAAATAGTTCCTGCCGCGAGAAAGAACTTTCAGCCTGCAGGCTGTCCACAGAAGCTGCCTGCTCCATTCCCCTTGCCCCCATCCCCAAACACACCTCTAAAGCTCATCAGCTATCAAAACGTTCTGCTCCTCCCCAGAGAGGACAGGCCTGACTTTAGAAGCAATTAGAACATGGGCTATTTTAGGATTACTTCCTAACCACCTGGAATATCTTATTAAAGCAGAGCTCAGATGTCAAAAGCAGTTTCAGTTACCACCTACAAAAGCCAGAGTTAACCCTTTCCTCAAAAACAAGTTACTGGAATAGGTCACTGACAATTACAAACAACTTGTTTTTCATTCCAGCCTCTTCAAGCCCCAAACCTCCAAATTATTCATTTAAAAACTCCCATGATTGAGCTGTTTAGAACTCAAGAGTACACCTCTACCTCGATATAATGCTGTCCTAGGGAGCCAAAAAAATCTTACCGCGTTATAGGTGAAACCGCGTTATATCGAACTTGCTTTGATCCACTGGAGTGCGCAGCCCCCCGGAGCACTGCTTTACCGCATTATATCCAAATTCCTGTTATATCGGGTCGCGTTATATCGGGGTAGAGGTGTTCTAATATTCCAACCCTCTGTACAGTGGCCAGAGTCTTAATTTCCCCAAGAATCAAAATCCTGTGTCCAACTCAAAGGGCCCAGGACCTAAAGGTTCACAACTAAAAGTCAAAATATCTGCACCTCAGGCATGAGACTCGCCTCATGGAAAAACTCTCAAAGTTTAATATACCTTTGTTATTTAAAAATTTTAATGAGATTCAGCTGAGGTCTGATAAGGTTTATGAGACTATGAAGTTGGACTTATATCCCATGGTGTATTTATTCTGGGTAAACTTCAGCAGGTTCAGTATTCACAAAAAGTAAGGAGGCATTAGCACATTGGCTTGGAGCCTCACCTGCCAATGTACCTCAAACTTGATCTGTTTCCTCCATCACTACTATTTCAGTCCTAGTGTTTCTAGACAGACTTCAAACATTGTGGTGGTTTCCCAGTGACAAATATCTATCTAGACACTAAGCTAAATGTTACTGTGAAAAACCCTTTTCTACTCTGTCCCACTAGCTTAACAGCAAACACTGAGTTAATGGGAAATGTACAAAGGGGTGATTTCAGGATTATCAGAGAATCAGCAGAAATTCCTTTTGTGGGTGCGGCTGAGCCCTAGGAAGTGAAACAGATGCCAGTATAAAGAAAACTGTTGTACTACAAAACACCGATAAGATCAGGATTACTGCCCTGAGCTGCAAACTCTCAGGCACTGTAAGAACCAAGTTATAATTATCACATACACACCTTCCGTTGTCTGGTAAAACTTTGTAGGAGCTGAAAAATCCTGTCCACTCTTACTAGCAAGACAGCACAATTCAACATCTATGGCTTTGAAGGTGCTTCTTATTCTAGTGATCTCAAGATTAAGTGGAGGAAATAAAAGAAAGGACTGAAATGCATGAA